CTGCAAGGGACTCAGCGAGGATGGGGACAGCCCTACAGGAGAATGGAAGATCAGAAGGGAACAGGGCCCCCATTTCCCTCCTCCCACTAGGGCCTTGGGAAGACCCTTCTGGGGTGCTGGGCCTGACCCTCTGCCCTCCGAGGCCCCCTCCAGATTTAACGGCCCTGGAAGTGTGGGAGAAAGTAAAAGCAAGATGGGACTGGTGCCCTGAGAGGCAGTTGGAGGATGGGAGGGCTTCCCCAGATCAGAGGGACTCACCCACAGTAAGCATACCACTGGGGACAGAAAACATCTTCGGGGGTTTGGAGGGTTGGAGGGGAGTGTGGCCAGCATTTCCTTGTCAGCTCAGGCCTGGCTAGGCTGCTGGGGTCCCAGGCCTAAACCTCAGCCCTTTGAGGACCCCTCTGGGCACACGGGGTCTAAGACCTGCCCCCACACACTCTCCCAAGAAGGACCTTTTCTGGTCACTCTGGTCCTGAGCCTAGGGTCCCACTCCCCCCTAAGCCCCTGCCCCCTACAGCCAAGGCCTTTTCTGGCCTGTTTTTGTTTTTTTGTTTTTTTTTGCTGTTGTGGTTGTTTTCTCTTGTTGTTTCATTTATATTTTTATTTTTTCTAATATATTTTTAAGTTTTCTAATTTTATTTTAGTTCCTATTCTTTTGCTATTGCTCTGCCTTGTTTTTCCCTTGCATACCACATAGCTTGTAGAATCTTGATTCCCAGGCCAGTGGTCAGTCAGGGCTGAGCTCCTGTGGCAGGAGTACCACGCTCAGCCCACTGGACTAACAGAGAACCTCACATGTCAGGGAATGCTAATCAGAGTGAAGTCTCCTGGAGGGCCCCATCTCAGCACCAAGATCCGGCTCTACCCAACCACCTGCAAACTTCAGTGCTGAATGCCTCAGGCCATACAAGCAGCAAGACAGGAACACAGACCCACCCCCACCCCCCCATCAAACAAAATGAAATGACAAAAAAATTTTTACAAAGGATCAAGGTAAAAACCTACAATACCAAATAAATGAAAAGGAAATAGGCAACCCACATGAAAAAGAACTCAGAGTAATTATGGTAAAGATGATGCAAAATCCTGGAAAGGGTGGAGGCTCAGATGGAGAAAATACAAGAAATGTTTATCAAGGACCTAGAAGAACTAGCAAGGGCTTCCCAGGTGGTACTAAGTGATAAAGAATCTGCCTGCCCATGCAGCAGACACAAGAGACTGGGGGTTTGATTCCCTGGGTCAGGAAGACCCAGGAGAGGATCTTCCTGGGTTGGGAAGATCCTCTGGCAGAAGATCCTCTGCCAAAAGAATACTGGCAACCCATACCAGTACTCTTGTTTGGAAAAATCCCATGGACAGAGAAGACTGGTGGGATACAGTCCATAGGGTTGCATAGAGTTGGACACAACTAAGCACAAAGTTTAGAAGAACTTGAGAACAAACAGTGATGAAAATCACAATAACTAAAATGAAAAATACACTGGAAGTTATCAATAGCAAAATAACTGAAGCAGGAGAATAAGTATGTGAGCTGCCAAATGGAATGGTAGAAATGACTGCTGTGGAGCAGAAAAATGAAAAAAGAATTAAAAGAATTGAGGACAGTCTCAGAGACATCTGGGACAACATTAAACACACAAACATTTGAATTTCAGGGGTCCCAGGAAAAAAAATAGAAAGGTTTAGAGAAAATATATGAAGAGATCAGAGTCAAAATCTTTCCTAAAATGGGAAAGGAAAAAAAAAAAATTCAAGTTCAGGAACTGCAGAGAGTCCCACACAGGATAAACCCTAGGAGAAAAACGTCAAGACAACAAATGAATCAAACAAAAATTAAATTCCCCATACGGTTATCAGCTGATTTTTCAGCAGAAACTCTACCAGCCAGAAGGAGTGGCAGGACATATTTAAAGTGAAGAAATGGAAAAAGCTACAACCAAGATGACTCTACTCAGCAAGGCTCTCATTCAGAAGGACAGAAAATAAAAACCTTTACAAACAAGCAAAAAGCTAAAAGAATTCAGCACCACCGAACCAGTTAAAAAAAAAACCAAAATGCTAAAAGAGCTTCTCTAGGCAGGAAAAACAAAAGAAGACCCACAAAAACAAATCCAAAGCAATTTAGAAAATGGTAATAGGAACATCAATATCTATAATTACATTGAATTTAAATAGATTAAGTGCTCCAACCAAAAGACACAGACTGGCTGAATGGAAATGAGACCCATTTCAGAGCTATGGACACGTACAGACTGAAAGCAAGGGCATAGAAAAAGATATTCCATGTCAATGGAAAGCAAAAGAAAACTGGAATAGCAATACTCATATCAGACAAAATAGACTTTAAAATTAAGACTGTGACAAGAGATAAAGGTCACTACATAATGATCAAGAGATCAATCCAGGAAGAAACTACATCAGTAATAAATACTTCTGCAGTCAACGCAGGACCACCTCCATACATAAGTCAAATAATAACAGCCAACAAGGGGAACCCAACAGTAACACCATAATAGTGGGAGACTTTAACACCCCACTTATACCAATGGACAGGTCACCAAGGCAGAAATTAAATAAAGAAATAAGGGCTTTAAATGGCACAACAGCTTACATATATTTAATTGCTATTTATAGAACATTCCACTCAAAACCAGAATACACTTTCTTCTCAAGTACACAGAGAACATCCTCCAGAATCACATTTTGAGTAACAAATCAAGCCTTGGTCAGTTTAAGAAAACTGAAATCATATCAAACATCTTTTCTGACTACAACATTATGAGATTAGAAATCAATCACAGGGGAAAAAAAAGAAAAACTGTAAAGAAGACAAATACATGGGAGGCTAAACAGTGCATTCTGAATAACCAAGAGATCACTGAAGAAATAAAAAAGGAAATAAAAAAATACATCAGAACAAATAAAAATGAAAACAATGACCCAAAACATAAAGGATACAACAAAAAGCAGTTCTCAGAAGGAAGTTTATAGCAATTCAACCTCACCTCATGAAACATGAAAAACCCCAAATAAGTAATCTAACCTTACACCTAAAGAAACTAGAGAAAGAAGAAAAAGAACAACAATAAAGTTAGAAGGAAAGAAATCATAAAGATCAGAGTGGAAATAAATGAAACAGAAATGAAAAAAACAATAAAAAAGATCAATAAAAAAGTTGGTTCTTTGAGAAGATAAACAAAATTGATAACCCTTTAGCCAGACTCATAAAGAAAAAAAAAAAAAAAAGAGGGGAAGAGAACTCAGATCAATAAAATTAGAAATGAAAAAGGAGAAATTACAACTGACACCACAGAAAGACAAAGGATCATAAAAGATTACCAGAAGCAACTATATACCAATAAAATGGACAATCTGGAAGAAATGGACAAATTCTTAGAAAGGTACAATTTTCAAAGACTAAATCAGAAAGAAACAGAAAACATAAACAGACTAATCACAGTTATGAAATTGAAATTAAAAATCTTCCCACAGAAACATGACTGAATTGACTGAGCATGCATGCATGCATTCTGGTTTGTTTTATCTTGAAATAAACATAAAAAAATGGGGCTACCCTGGAGGCTAAGTGGTAAAGAAACCACCTGCCAATGCAGGAGACACAGGTTCGATTCCTGATCCAGAAAGGTCTCACCTGCAACTAATTGCAGGTGGAGCAACTAATTCCAGGGATAACTACTGAGCCTGTGCTCTAGAGCCCAGAAGCACTACTGAAACTTGCAAGCCTAAAGCCTGTGCTCCCCGACAAAAGAAGCCACCACAATGAGAAGCCTGTCCATCACAACTAAATAGCCCCCACCAGCTACAACTAGAGAAAAGCCCAGTGTAGCAATGAAGACCCAGATCAGCCAAAAGCAAATAAATAAAATTAAAAAATAAAAATCTTCCCACAAACAAAAGTCCAGGACTAGATGACTTCACAGGTGAATTCTATCAAACATTTAGAGAAAAGCTAACACCCATCCTCTCAAAACTCTTCCAAAAACATTTCAGAGGGAGGGCCACTTACAAACTTGCTCTATGAGGCCACCGTTGCCCAGAGATATCACAAGTAAAATTACTGACTGATGTCACCAATGAACATAGATGAAAAAAATCCTCAAAACAATGCTAGCAAACAAAAACCAACAACAAACTAAAAGGACTGTACATCATAACTAAGTGGGATTTATACCAGGGATGCAAGAATTCTTCAATATACAGAAATCAATCAATGTGATACACCATATTATCAAATAAAAAAAAAAAGTATGACCATCTCAATAGATGCAGAAAATGTTATGAAAAAACTTAACACCCATTTATGATAAAAACTCACCAGAAAGTGAGCATAAAGAGAACCTACCTCAACATAATAAAAGCCATATATGACAAACCTACAGCTAACATCATTCTCAACAGTGAAAAACTGAAAGCATTTCCTCTAAGGTCAGGAACGAGACAAGGATGTCCACTCTCTCCACTATAAAAGTCCTAACCACAGCAATCAAAGAAAAAAAGAAACAAAATGAATTCAAATTGGAAAACTAAAACTATCACTGTTTGCAGATGACAAGATACTACACACAGAAAACTCTAAAGATGCCACCAGAAAACTACTATAGCTAATCAATGAATTTAATAAAATTTTAGGACACAAAATTTATATACAGATGTGTCCTGTATTCTTATACACTAACAATAAAAGATAAGAAAGAGAAATTAAGTTAACAATCCTGTTTATCATCTCAAGAAAAATAATAAAATACTTAGGAATAAACCTAACTAAGGAGGCAAAAGACCTATACTCAGAAAACTATAAAACACTGATAAAAGAAATCAAAGATGATGCAAACAGATGGAGAGGTATACCATGTTCTTAGATGGGAAGAATCAATATTGTGAAAATGACTTTACTACAAAGCAATCTACAGATTCAATGTGTCAGATCAGTTCAGCAGAAATCAAGGTCCTTCGAGACATAGGGCAAGGATCCTTACCTTATCTGGAGGCAGTCAGCAATCTGTTTCATGGCACCAAACATCAGGTTGATTTATTTCTCTTCCTCAGTTCTTGTCACAACAGAAATTTGGAATGATGGACTAAAAGGTTTAAAACAGCAGACAAGTTACAACTCAGTTCAGCTCAAGCAGACAGATCTTTATTATTATACACTCCCTAGACATGGGAGCAGACTGACCCCAAGAGTCATCGAAAAGATTTCTCTTGGCTTCCCCCTTTTCATACTTCCCATCTCCTCCTTTTGGCTGTGCCCTGTGCAAAAACAGGGCTTGTACCCACCACCAATCAAGAGAGAGAATGCAAGCAGGCATATGCTTAAGACCAACTGACAGTTGCGACTTACATAACAACAGGCCCTGTAGTGTATATCTTCCCGTAATTTAGTCTGTTCTAATCAGATGTATATATGTGCAGCATATTTAAGAATTCTTAGTGAGCTCTTAGCTCCTAAGGTTACTTGAGGAAGCCCCTGTTGTTAGTTTGTATCTACTGTGTGCTTAGGGTGCATGTGCGGGATTTGGAAAACTCCCTGATAGCTCAGTTGGTAAAGAATCCACCTGCATTGCAGAAGACCCTGGTTCAATTCTTGGGTCAGGAAGATCTGCTGAAGAAAGGATAGGCTATCCACTTTAGTATTCTCAGGCTTCCCTTCTAGATCAGCTGGTAAAGAATCCACCTGCAATGTGGGAGATCTGGGTTCGATCCCTGGGTTGGGAAGATTCCCTTTAGAAGGGAAAGGCTACCCACTCCAGTATTCTGGCCTGGAGAATTCCATGGATGGTACAGTCCATGGGGATGCAGAGACATGACTGAATGACTTTCACTGTGGGTTTAAAGATTAGCTTGCATCCTTTTTGGCTAGGCCATCCCTCATTGCTCATGCCTAACTTCCTACCTAACAAATGTAAGCCACTAACACATTACCAATTGCATTTTTCACAGAATTAGAACAAAAAACTTTACAATTTGTATGGGAACATAAAAGACCCCAAATAACCAGAGCAATTTTGAGAAAGAAAAACGGAGCTGGAGGAATCAGGCTCTCCAACTTCAGACTGTACTACAAAGCTACAATAATCAAGACTATCACACTGGCGCACGAAATATTAGATCAGTGGTACAGGATAAAAAGTCCAGAGATAAACCCATGCACCTATCATCACCTAATCTATGACAAAGGAGGAAATGCCATACAATGGATAAAAGACAGTGCCTTCAGTAAGTGGTGCTGGAAAAACTGGACAACTACATGTACAAGAATGAAATTCAGAACCCTATCTAACACCTAACACAAGAATAAACTCAAAATGGATTAAACACTTAAACACTGGAAAAACGCTCTTCAACATCTATCACTGCAAGATCTTTCTTGACCAGCCTCCTAGAATAATCAAAATAAAAACAAACAAATGGGACCTGATTAAACTTAAAGATTTTGTTATCAAAGGAAACCACAAAGAGGATAAAAGACAACTCAGAATGGGAGAAAATATTTGCAAATGAAGCAAGGGACAAAGGATTAATCTCCAAAATACACAAACAGCTCAAGCAGCTCAATATAAAAACAAACAACCCAACAAAAATAAAGGGTGAAAGAGCTAAACAGACATTTCTCCAGAGACATACAGATGGACAAGAGGTACATGAAAAGATGCTCAACATCACTAATTATTAGAAAAACACAAACCAAAACTATTAATACCATGAGGTATCACCTCATACTGGTCAGAATGGCCATCATCAAAAAGTCTACAAACAGTAAATTCTGGAGAAGATGTGGCAGAAAGGGAACCTTCTTGCACTATTGGTGGGAATGTAAAGTGATATAGCCACTGTGGAGAACAGTATGGCGGTTCCTTAAGAAAACTAAAAATAGCACTATCATATGACCTACTACTGGGCATAAGCCCTGAGAAAACTGTAATTCAAAAAGACACATGTACCCAATGTTCAATGAAGTACTATTTACAACAGCCAGGACACAGAAACAACTTAAGTGTCCACCAACAGATGAATGGATAAAGATGCTGTGTGTATGTATATACATACACAAGGGGATATTGTGCTGTGCTGTGTTTAGTTGCTCATGTGTCCAACTCTTTGTGACCCCACAGACTGTAGCCCACCAGGCTCCTCTGTCCATGGGGATTCTCCAGACCAGAATACTGGAGTGGGTTGCCATGCTGGCCTTCAGGGGATGTTCCCAACCCAGGGATCAAATCCAGGTCTCCCACGTTGCAGGCAGATTCTTCACCGTCTGAGCCACCAGGGAAGTCCAAGAATACTGGAGTGGGCAGCTGAGCCCTCTCCAAGGAATCTTCCAGAACCAGAAACTGAACCGGGGTCTCCTGCACTGCAGCAGATTCTTCACCAGTTGAGCTAATTACTGAGCTATAGAAAGGAACTAAATTAGGTCATTTGAAGAGAGACTATCATACACAGTGAAGTCAATCAGAAAAACAGATACTGTTCTACAGACTTACAAACACAGAGAAGGGATGTGTGGTCATGGAGAGGGGAGGTGCCGGGGTGAAGAGAGCATGATGACTAGGAGATTAGGTTTCACGTGAATACATTATCTTGAGTGAGACAGATAGCTAGTGGGAACCTGCTACATAGCACAGGGAGCTCAGCTTGGTGCTGTGATGACAGGGTGGGAGTAGAGAGGCATTTTGAGAAAGGAATTTTGTATGGGGTCAAGATTTTCTAAGGTAGGATTAAATTTAATTAGGTAAATGGATTTTATTAACAATAGGCTGATGCAAAACTCTCAGAAGAGGACCAAGTTATCAAGTTATCCTGGAATGCTGCTTTTGATAACACATTGTTTACACTTCTGTGCCTTTAGTAAGTAACCTATATTTACTCTTGATTTTTTTTCCACCTTAGCTCAAGGAATGGGGCTTCCCAGGTGGTAGAGTGGTAAAGAATCCACCTGCCAATACAGGGAATGAGAGTTTGATCCCTGGGTCAGGAAGATCCCCTGCAGAAGGAAATGGTAACCCACTCTAGTATCCAGACTTTCAATATATTTTTAACTTTGAATGGAGGGGCCCTGATACCCTGGAGGCTACCCAATATACCTGGAAGTGCTTCCCCAGGGCTTTAGGGACAGCCCTTGTCTTTTTGGAAATGTGTTAGGTAAGCAAGGGGACTGAAGGGATTGTTCCTTGAGAAGGGAACTCTGCTACAATATGTTGATAATTTATTGATAAGTAGTGAGACCAATGCAGGAGACCTGGGTTCGATTCCTGGGTTGGGAAGATCCCCTGGAGGAGAGAATGGCAACCTACTAAAGGATTCTTGCCTGGGAAATCCCATGGATAGAGGAGCCTGGTGAGCTATAGACCATGGAGTTGCAAAGAGTTGTGCCTGACTAACACACACTAGTGAGAGGGTAACAGGCAGGAAGGCCAGGGGTCTCCAAACGGAGGAAAGAGGCTGCAAGTGCCAGACATTTTTATCTCTCTTAAGCGGCAGGAGGAAACAAACCAGCGATATTTTTTTCTTCTCTATACAAATTTAAAAGGAGGTTTCTCTTAAAATGCTGTGTTGCCATGACACCTGGTTTTACCTGAAGTTAACTACTCTAAATGTATTGAGTTAACCAATACATTTCTTTTTCTTATGGAAATGTTATCTTAAGCTATGACTCTATCTTTGATCAAGTTGGTTCCGCCAAATGGCCCAACCTACTTACTCAGTATTGTTCCCCTAATCAATGTAAACGAAACTATTTGTTGGTAATTTGCCCTTCTACAAGATTCAAGTCAATCGTTTCATGGCCAGTGATCAATTATCTGGTGTCATTCTAAGTTTTATGACATTCCTTTCTTTTCATTAACAGATTGTGAGTGACTATATAACAATAATGTATCCTGCCTGAGGACAGTCTTTGGATTAAACCCTCTGGCTAATTCTGTTATCTTAAAACATAAATTATGGGAGTAGGTCTGGTCTTTACAAGGATGTATCCTGCCTGAGGACAATCTTTGGATTAAACCTTCTGGCCAACTCTGTTATCTTAAAATGTAAATTATGGGAGTAGGTCTGGTGAGGTCTTTACAACCTCCAGACATTCTTTGGATTCATTGGAGAGTATATAACTCCATTGCTAATACTAGCAA